CCCCAAAACCCCAAAACCCCAAAACCCCTCTAAAAATCTCAAAATTGAACTTATTCTACACATTTTTTTCAGTTTTAAAAAACCTGAGCAAACTTCTCTAAAGCCACATCTGAAGAAGCTTATCCTTTCTTCTTGTGTCTTGAAGAAATATCAACTCTCATTTGGTCAGCATAAATCCCATACTCTTTAGGCCTCGTAGTTGGCTTCTCAATGTTGAATAAAGGCTGAGGATTTGGAGAAGAAGCTAAAGGCTGAATCCCTCCTAAAGGCATCATTTTAGCACCCTCTGGACAAGATAGCATAGGAGGAATAGGAAACACAGTAGCAGTAGATGAAACAGGACCCTTAAGATTTGGAGGAACAGGTAGCTTTTCAGGCTTTGATTGCTTTGAGTTTTTCGAACTATTTTCGGCTGGTTTTGGTGGATTCTCAGGCCGAAGAGCCTCTATATCAGTTGTATCACCATTTTCTTCCATTTTTTGCACTAAGTCTATTATCATCTTATCTATCTTTTTATCAATCTCTTTATCTGCTAGATGAGAAGCTGTGTTAGTTTTCTGATCTACAACTGAACAAGTTAATTTTATCGATTTTTTCATTTTCTTTTTACCACGGCCTTCTTTATTCGAATCTAATACCGGTATCTCAATGCTGTCTGAATCAGTGGCAGTATTACCTGTGCTACTACTCTCACTCCCGGCACTGGTTTCCCAATAGCTGCTAGCTTCTTCACTATCGTATGTATACTCAGTACTGGTACTACTAAGATCTCCTACATTGAAAAACTTATCCATCATGGTAACCTGATTGTCCTCTGTTTTGTCTTCATCGAAATACTCTAGCTCCAATGGCTCGTGTTGATAAATATCATACTGACTCCACCTGCTATCCCACTTGTCATAGTCAAACAAGATGGACTCAAAATTAAATCTCTTTATTGTAGGGACCTTCTCCCAATCTTTTTTTGTACTTCTTGATAAAGTTCCTCATATAGACTTGGCATGGGTGTTTAGTGATATCAGGCAACCCATTAAGTTTGATAAAGAAATCATCCCGTGTGATTCTGTACTCGCTTAAGACCTTATCATAGAAGCGCTCATATGCTAAATCAAATTCAACTTGCTCGGTAATTACTTCTTTAAATTTCTTCTGATGTTCTTGTCTTTCCTCCTCTGGTAACAGGTTCCAATGACTTCTGATTCCAGCAGCGGTAGCTGGCTTAGGAACGAGGTCAGATTTAGGGTAATCTCTCCTTGTAACAATCCATGTGATGTAGTCAAACATTGATTTAAACTTTATTCTCCAAGGTTTTTGGGGATTTACCAAGTACTCTGGGTGATTCTTAAAGTCATCGTAATACTTAGAAATCATCTTCTTACGTCTCTTCTTGAGGTTTATATCTAACTTAAAATTGTCTAATTCTTTATCAAGCTCAATTCTGGTCTCACCAAAATTACATTCTGAATCAGAAAGTCCTGCACTCTCATCGCCCTTTAGATTGATCTTCTCGATCATCTTGCCATTACCTTCGTGAATAAGGGTCCTTTGAAGATGTTCATAATTTCTCTCCTCGCCTTTAAACTTTTTTTCTTTGAAGTTGTTGTATCAAATCTTTGACATTTGGGAGATCTAGAGCTATTTTGTACTTCTTCATCTGCTTAATTACAACATTTTGCTTGCGGAATAGGATGTCTCATATCAGTTCTGCAGCTTCATCAGTACCCATAATGAAGTTGAGAGTTTCTCTAACTGCAGATTTACGATCCTCTAACAAATTTCTAAGACCCTCAATAATGTCTTTGCAATAGTTATCCCCTTGAGCTTCCTTTATCTGTATTGATTTTAGCTTCTCTTCCTTTTGAGCCTTCTCAAGATTGTCTATATTTTTGTCAGGAATTGGGCAATTGAGGAAGAAATTCTCAGTCTCGATGTCTATGTTCTGTGTAAACTCCATCATCTGTTTCTCCCTCTGGGAGAAACCAGTCATGAACTTGCTTAGAGTGGAAAAGAAGCAAGATGCGTATAATAATGTCTGAAATATATCCTTACAAATTTCAAATTATATTTTCCTCATCGGGGTTTTGGGGTTTTGGGGTTTTGGGGCTTTGGGGTTTTGGGG